AAGCTCCGCTATATCTCCATACCACAATGCCGAATCTTTCCCGAGTATCCATCATCTCCATCTCGGTGAGCGGCTGTAAACTGGGCATAACTTGAAATAAGTAGCCAAAAACAAGGATCCAATGACCATTCGCCTCTTTCCCGAGTCTGCCAAGTGGGCGACAATGAGCTGCCGCTCAGCACATCCTGAGTTCCTGTTTCTACCGCTACCTTTGTCACTATTTCTCCCACTTTCGCTATCACTACTCTTTTCAGCCACCTCTTTCAGTTCGTTCTCTACATGGTATAGCTAAGTCACACCAACAAGACTCTGAGAAGGACAGGGACTGTGTTGGCACCCATGTAGGGGTCTCTCTCTCTTGCCGAGACAGCAGCGCGAGGCCATGCAGTCACCCGCTCATCCGGCTTGGTTCCCGAGGCGGGGTGGTCCGAATACACCACAAACTCGCGTAAGACAATTCACCACGGTGGCTGGTTCGTTCCTTTTGGAAATATCCATGTCCACAATCATGTTTCCTCATCAAGATCCACCACTGAAGGCGGGAGTGTGGGAACGGACCACATGCTCGCGAGATGGGGTCTTCTCGGCAGCCGTGACATCTTGTCGGTTGCTCATTTGTCGAGACCCAGGGCGAGGAGTGTACGGATACTATTCCCAGATTCACTCCCCCTGGTGAATGATTGACTCGTTTGTACCCGTAAGGCGGGGAGGGATGGAGATCTCCTCTGCCGCTGTATGGTGTGACGGGTTTACGGATATAGGCCAGACCACCACGTTGCGTAAAAAGAATGTCCCGATACTTGAGACAACCATCACAACTCACATGCTCCATCGATCTCTCCCTGCTTTCGTGATGGTTCCTGATGATCACTATTGGTTTCGAGGCATACCTCCCGCATTGTCGGGACATACATGTGAGGGCGATCCATGCATGTTCATCTACTACACACATACTTTAGGCATGCGACAACCATCTGCGGTTCCTGCCTGTAGCTCGCGAGACATTGGAGAGACATGGACGGTACCGATAGTACGGACGTCAGCCTGGGTTCCCGAAAGTGGTCTCCATCTCACATTGTACAAATTCTACCTCTACCAAGCAAGTGGGCCAGAACTGCGGTTGGCTGGTCTATGTCGATACCTTTGCCCGTTGACAGCAATCATCCAGAAGATCCCGTCTGTCTGTCTTCTTGTTGGTGATATGAAGTATCTCATGGCGTGAGCTCTTTCCCGAATGTATGCCAAACTCGCTGCATAGCAACTGCCCTGGCCCCCCTCACAATCCGACCTAAGATCGTGACCGAGGTCTCAAGCTTCAGAAGTGAAGAGATGATGAGCCATTGGATATGGGGGGTTCCTGTTCGCTCGGGAGGACGAAGAACCACTTTATCAATGCCAAGTGTGCATGTATCTTAATGCCTACAGAGAGTCAAACCCCATCTACGATACGTTTCTCAGAGAGAGGACTTAGTTCAACCCAAAGGGAAAGACAATGTTCAGGCTATGTTACGAGGCTCAAGAGACCATCCAGATAGATCACTATCGCGAACACAGTACGACCGTCTTACGGTCACTACAGAGAGTCGATTACCTTGACAGCCGACATCACGGGCACTGCCAGATTGGTCCACGCGATGATTCTCTCGAGACAGTACTAGACAATTCACCCCTAGGAGTAGGATCACACCCCCAAGCACCAAAGTTAAGCATCTCGAAGCTCCTAGCTACCCCTTGGCAACACTCGCATGAGGGGAGATTGCCTTGCTGACGGCGGGCATGCTCTACCAGCCACAAACCACCTCTTGTGAAGCTCCTTCAGGGGATCGAGGCAGTCAGCTGAATCCTATACCGACCTCTCTCCCCCTAGCTGCGTCGGAGAGGCTGACTGATTAGCTTGATCTTCGTCTCTGGGGAGGTCACGATACACCACAGGGGGGTTTGAAAGGGGGTACGGCCAACCAACCCCATGCTCAATTAGCATCGTATTGCCTGGACGCAGTGCGCCACCAACGAGATGACTGCATACTCTGCAGGCCACAAGTTCTCGGAAACACATTCATGTAGTCTTGAATATCATTTGACGACAGTTCATGAAAGGAGGTTCATATACATTGTGCCAGCCAAGGCAGTAAGAAGTATCACAAGAAGTAGGATTGCCCGACGCGCAACGATTCCCGTCTGCTTTCTTGGACAGGGTAGACTCAGTTTATCGTAACACTGTACATATGGAGAGGCTCATTGACGATGCTCCATGGAGAATGATGTATGGACCTTTGATGGCGCAAACAGTCAAACAGAAGCACTCTCTTGCAGTCTGCCCTTTCATGTCGTTTCCTCCCCTTTCTACATCAAGGCACAAAATATCGCGAATTAGGAACGCATCATGGTCGACAACCAGGCTCTACATCACGATGAGGCTGCACTCGATCGCGATTTTCGCAGCCCTGGTCTATCAGGGTAGGGGATATCTACAGATTGCAGACAACAACCCCGTAGCCTGATCATACGATTTCGTTCTTTGTTGGACATCATCACTAGCCCAAGGATACGAAAAAAAAAAAAACAGGTTTCAAGCCCATCGCACTCCGCCCAGCCCCTCCCCAGGACCCCCGGGAAACGATGCCATCATCCCCCTTCCCATCGCCGCGCGGGGCACCGTTGGGGGAGGATCGGAGCACAAGTCCGATGCGGACCTAGTTCATCAAGGGAAAAGAAAGGAAATCGGACGCTCCGACAAGGGGCGTGTGTCTTTCTATTCCGCTGTACTACTATCACGCCCGGCGGAACGAGAAAACAGCAACGGCGGCCCCATTCATCTTCAACGCGAACAAGACGCCATGCCATTGCTGTGCTAACTATTCCGGCCACAACATGCCCATTCGGCATAGAGCCGTTTTAGCTAGTATCGGATTTCCACTCCTTCTTTTTCCATGACCAACGATGTATGCTACGAAGATGGCGCCAATACGTTCAAAGGATGGCCCAGGGGGCGGGGAGACGGGACCTTTCGTTGATGTTGCGAGTGGGTAAATGCTGGCCCGGGTAGATGCCCGAAGTGAACGCAGCTACGAACCGGAAGGGGAGAATGCCGAGCGGTGTGGGCTGTAACTTGTAAGCCTGTTCGTGTTGGGGGCTTTGTGGGTGGGCGTCGTTTCCCGACCGCCGAAAAGTACGGTGCGGCAAGAGCGGCGGTGACTTGAATCCCCCGGTGTCTGCAACTGCAAGCCCGCTTACACTACGGAGTAACTACGTACGCTCTCATCAGAGGAGGGAGGGGGGAGGAGATGGGATGGGATGGAAAGGATGGCATACCTACCAGATCATGGATGGGATTGGGAGGCAGGGGGGGATGAGAGTGCGGAACCGCAAGCCGGGAAAGTTGTAGAAGTGATACGTAGAAAAGAGACGGTAAGTTGCCAATTGACCAATTAGTTGGAAGCGATTGCATATGGCGTTGTTTTTCTGTTTTCCGCTTCTTCCAAGTCTCAAGTCTAGTCTCCCACACTTTCCGTACGCATACGCATATGCGCAATATGCCACACGCAGGGCATCATGGGCAAAATTTAGAGAGCCTGGCAATGTACCGATACCTTCGCACGGCTTTCCGATTTTATTTTATTTTTTTGATTTTTTTAACTTTTTCTTTGTCCTTTCTTTTTCTGAAAGTCCTTCTAGAAGGGTGTGTAGAAGCTAGACTAAGCCAGACAGAGTTAGGCCCGTCCTACAGCTTACAGGACGCCATCTCGATCCAACAATCCACCCGGCCGAGTGCTGTGGTTCTTCTAATGGGGGGCCGCAGGATTGCGTAGCAGCAGACAAGGGGACCGGCGCAGCACTAGCCGCTGCCGTATATCCACTCCCCGTACGGACACATCGCCATCGCCATCGGGGACGCGGGCGACGGCCGGGCGTTGAGACGGGATGCAAGCTTGTGAGTAGCAGAGTAGGTAGACTATCCGTACTTTAGGGTGGTTTGGAATCCATATGGGCGTGGCATACCAGTACCCTTAGGTTCCCCCCATCCATCTTGCTCGTGTCCGCCATCGGGAAACAAGAAGGGTCCGCGGGCGTCCAGGAGAGAGCGGTGTATCACACATCGCAGGTACCGGTAGCCAAGCACACCAAGGCACATCATTCCTTTTCCCCTATGTCGTGACACACGGGTCTTGCCTTGCCTTGGGCCGGGCTGGGCTGGGACTTGTCTCTGAATTCCCGGTGGGGGTGAGAACTTTCGTGAGTTTTGGTTCGCGAAAGACGAACAGACCTCGAACTTGGAGCAACGGCGTAAAAGTGTAAATTCCTTCTTCGCCTTCTTCGAAGCTTCCAAAATGCTTCCATAGGTGCTTCCACAGCCACCCACATCACACCTACAGTCTCACAGTCTCATCTTCCTCTCTTCTTCGGATGCACAAGAATGGAAACACGACGCCACGTCGCATCGAATGCCCGCAACAGCAGTTCCAAGCGCCACGGAGCGGAGGGGAAGCCTTAGGGTTGCCACGTTTCCCTCCCATCTCTGCACACCATCTCCGTGGCGTCGGATGGGTTGTGCTGCACAAGCACATGGCAAAGATGCCATGGCGAAAGGTAACTTTGATGACGATAATGGTACGTGGTGATGGCGTTGGATGGCGGCGGCGGCGGGATGGGTGTTGGCTGTACATAGCAGCTGAGTGGCTGTAGCCGACTGTACCTACACTTTTAGTACTTGCAGCGTGACATTAACTTGCGCTGGTTCATGAATCAAGCAGAGACCTGCTTCGTCTCGCCTTTCCAGAACAACTCTGTTGCTGAACTTTGAAAGCGGTGTACAACGTGCATCGTGCGGCTTGCGGCTTGCCATGTGCATGAGGTAGCACTGACCACGGCCACGACGAAAGCCCTCTAGGCGATCAACGTTGCCTGCCCGAAGAAACGAGCCGCCAAAACACGAACCAAACTCAAGCAACTTAGCATGGCCGCGGAAAGGGGGGGGGGGGTAAGGGGGCTATAACGGCTCGTTAGATACCCTCCTTGTTCATTTTGCCAGTATTAGCCTTCTGCACGAAAGCAGGCGAGGCGTGCGAAGGGTCGAGATCATAACGCGTGGCAGCGTGGTAGGGCTCCAGATAGCCTTTTCCCCATGACATGAGACGTGCATTGCAGCCACGTGTCACGGGCAGCGCTATCTGTCAAGAAAAAAAAAAGCTATACATTTGATGCCATCACACGAACCCGAGCCGCCTGTCTCAGATGTTTCCATGCATCAGATTCTGCACGGGGCTGACTCGCAGGGAGGGGACATTCGACCTCTCTTGTGCCTTTCCTGCTTCGCTATGTGTGAGTGGGTGAGCGTGTGTGTATATCCGTATGCATATGTGTGTGTTTGTGTACACACCATAACATGTGTGAGTGGTGTTGCGCGCATGAACCAAGCAATCGAATACGGGCGCACACACCGATGCCATCCAAGATTTCTCGGTGATATCTTGGGCTTGTAGAAAGTGAGAGCGGCGGTTAGAAGGAATCTGGTCGGAGTACGGACGGATACCAGCGCCTACGGTTCCGTCGTTGTATCGTAATGCTGCATTGACGATGCTGGCATGTACTACTGTATAGCAAGTGTAGTCGGGCATCGAGTAGTGCTGCAACACAGCCATCACACCTTGCCTATTGCCAAGCCAGCACGTGGACTGCAGCGAAGGCTCCAAACCGCATGAAGATGACCATGGGTTGACCATTTCAGGCCTCAGCCATGGACCCGTGTTGGGACGGATGGATGGTCGCGAGGGGACTTCTGTAGACTGCCATTGCGCTCTGACCAGCGGGAGTACAGAGCAGAATGGTCTTGTGAAGCACCGGAGAAACGACCAAGGGGGGAGAGGAGCATGGCGTCTCACGGGCTGCTTGCGAGATTAAGTATGAAGCATGACCGCTGCGGTCGTCGTTGATGATTTCGATTGGCAGATGGCGCTTTGGTTAAGCTTCCAGAAAGGGTCCAATTCGATTCGGGGTCGAGGACCGTGCGGCTGGGACGGGCAAGTTTCGGGGGCTTTCTTGACTGTAGACGGCATCTCTTTGCGATTCTTTTCCTTCTTGGGGTGAGTGTTTGTGGTGATGGTGGTGGTGGTGCTAGTAGTGGTGCTAGTAGTGGTAAGGGGCGGATTTGTTGAGCACGGTGAACGGATGGTTGGTTGGCTGGCTGCTTCCGTAGCAGAACCGTAGAACAGAGCCGGAGATGGCGCTAGAATGGAGGGAAGAAGTCGGGCGAACGGTTTGGAGTGAAAGGAAGGTGAGCGTTGGGTGCGGAACGGAATACCTCAAGGTGAGGAGAGGTGAGGTGAAGGAGCGGGGCAGGGCAAGGGGAAGCGCGGCAAGGTGAGCACCTCACTTCTCTACATGCCTAGGAGATGTACTCCGTACGTACTACGGGCATGGAGCATTCATACGAATAGCTCAGGCGCGGTCCCCTGGGAGCGCGACGATGGGAAGGCACGGAGGGAAGGATGGGAAGCGATGGAGGGATCGGGCAATGAGTGGGGGCCTGGATAGTCAACGCTAAAACGGTCCGTATTAGGTAAAGCTGGTCGAGCGAGGTAAGGTACCTTACTTCGTACTCTGACTGCGTAAGGTAACGCAACTACGATGTATCCGCACCTTAGGGTATCGTGCCTGCCTAGTAGCTAAGGCAGGCAAGGCCCGGCAGAAGAAAGAGCACGAAGTTACGAACAATTAGGCGTTGGTAGGCTGTAGCACGTGTTGACGGTGGCTGGGTAGGGATCCGGCGAGGCGGCCGGCAAGAGATCAAACGGTGATAGGATGAGGCGCTCCGACGAAACGTTCCCCGTTCACGCCCATACGCACCTAAGTCTCCACCGCTGAACGCCCACGCCGCCCGTCCGATAACACGGCCGCAGCAGTGTTAGCACCGTGACCGTGACCGCAGAGTGACCGTAGCCGTGGCCGTGGCCGTGACCCCAGCCAGGGTCGGAGGGAAAACAGATCCCGAGCACGACCGATGGGAAGTTGCGATTGGCCTTGGCATATCACGTACGAGTATGTCCTTTGACCCTTGAGCCCCGGGGTCCGCTACTAAGTGATGGGTATAGTGCTCAACGACGTAGTATTCAAGGGACTACCTGAGTTGCCCTGGCATAGACTCATGAAAAGGTTGATGCTTTGACGTTTGTTCCCCTTTTCTTCTTCTTTTCTTTATTTAAACTTTGAGCAGAGATGTAGTGATGGTGTAATTGGGACGGATGCCAAGACAAGTCAACCTCTCTCCCCGTGTGGGCTGGACTGGGGCGTAACCGGAGTACTTGGTGCACAACACGGGACGGGAAAGGCGGGAGAATCGCAGCGAGGAATGACCCGGGTTCGCATCAGGTGGAAGGCGAAGCTTCCGTCCCTGGAAACTCGGGAGTCGCAGCGGAGGCTCTGCCTTGAGCTGACTGGCCAAGTGATTGCACAAAAGTGAGTTGACATGAGGTAATGTGAGCTGATTTGGGAGCTCTCGCGCAGGGAGTATCCAGGCCGGAAGATTGCTGAAGAAGGCGGAGAAATGAAGACTTGTCCCAGGGTTACGGGCAGGCAAAGGATCGGGAGCAAGGCAGTGCCGGTAAACCGTAAAGAGGCAAGGCGGGGGTATTGAAGAATGGCAATGCAGGACAGGCATGACCGTGAATGGAAATCCGTAGGGCAGGGCGTAGCGCATTTGCGGGCGAGCATGGCAGCAACATCCGTCTTCTTATCCGATACAACCTCAAACCAGACCGCGTGGGATAGCACCTAGTAATCATTTAAGGTGCAAAGAGCACCTTTGAGAGTGCGAAGTGAATACCAAATCTGACCATTGAGGATACTGCGTTGCGTTAGTATGAGAGACACTGCAGTTTGGCGACCGGAAGGTGACCGGGCAGACAGAGAAGAAAAGAGCAAGGGGAAGCTGGAGCCGGCCTCTTCCCAGCTCCGTTCAGATGGGAAACTGGGGAGAGCCGGGTTCAAGCGGAACATGTGGGCTAGAGTTGGACCTTCCCATGCTTGCCAAGTATTCGTAGTAGTATTATGGATAGAGAGTGGAAGCCTCCAGTATTCATGGGAGAGAAGCAAGTACCTATCAATGTGCGTCTCTGCAGTGTATCTACAAATTACCTCCTCCCTGGTCTGGATCACGGCGATGAGATGAGCAGCATATTAGCAGGAGCGATCCGGTGAATGACCATGGTTGGGCAGGTAACATGTGCTGCATACGTACACCCGGGACCCCCAGTTTGTTTGCTTTGCGAGAATGAGATGATGGCATGGCTTCTCCTCTCTGACACACAGACAAATTGTAAAGAAGGTATCCATATTGCGGCAAGGGCATATGGGATGGATAAGGGAGATTCTTCTCCCCACCTGCACGACGGTGGGAGGTGAGATGGTGGGCATTTACTTTTCTGGGAATCTCATGTTTGGTAATGAGAGATGAGCTACTTTGAAAGAGTGGCGCCTCGTACCGGGGTCAGTTTGACGAATCGATGTTGAAGAAGTATGCTGCGTGTCGAAACCTGAGGCGAGATGGCGGTATTTTCAAGCAAAAAGAGGGCGTGCCAAACAGGTCCTCGCATCGCATTGCTGTCTGATAGACTTGAAAAGTCGCAACGAAGAAAAAATACCGCACTCTGGATGTTTTTGAGACCGGGGTAAAGCGTTGAAAACGTATCGAACAGCAGTAACAGCAATGGGCACGGTTCTAGATTACGAAAGCGCACTACTTTGTACACATGAGCAGGAAGCTGTACCTTAAAAGTCAAGGACCTCTGCAGTACAGGTATCCGTAACTGAATTGAAGGTTGGGTTTGATGCCACTTCCCTGCACTCCATAGGTATCTGCTATTTCAGAAAGAGGCTCTCCAATGAGAGTAATGGCGCAATCCACTTTGTATGCCATGCCATGCCAAGGAAGCCCAATCAAGACGGAATGCACTTGCATTTGCATCAGGAATGTCATTTCCCGCAAGTAATACAGATACAGGCTGTAGATTATACCGTGGTTGAGTATCTGGAAAGTACTTGGCTACTTACTCATCTAGGTACGATGCGATGCTGCGCTGCGCTGCGGGGTGAAGTCAGTCAAGAAGTCAATCAGTCAGTCGTTCAGCTTGGATAGACAGTCCAGGCCTGGCCACGGCACTTCGTACAATGTTCAACGAATCCATGGCTGCATGAGTGTCTGCAGACGCATTGTGCATTTCTGTCTTTTTTTTTTTTTTTTTTGGCACGGCTGAGAGGGCTGACTGGATGTTTAGGTTGCTAGCAAGTGGCTCAGAACTGAGCGTGTCTCGTGAAAAGGCAAAGTCCATCAAACCCTCAAATCCTCAATCCTCAACCCTCCTTTTTTCCTTAGCGTGAAGTGAGAGAGGTACCTTACCTCATTGCCATGGATCATAGAGCGCGGTTGGGTGGGTCACTCCGGCTTTCGCCTGGCACCAGCAATCAGCTCTCGATGACCCCACTTTCGACTGAAGTACCCTCGAGCTGCAGAGTACTTGCTTGGAGGTTTGTACTCCTCGAAAAAAGGTACTTAGTCCCACCGAAGCCACTAGAAACACACCCATCTGCTTGATGCAGCCAAATGAGGACTGGCGTGTCAACTGGACGGGCTGATAGAAACCGTCAGCCAAGACCCTGCCTTGCCTGATCCCTGTCAGCATGTGGTGATCGACCGTGCAGGGACTTCGGGACAGGGGAGATCCCTCTTCTTTCCCTTTTCGAAGCTCTCCCAGAAAACGGCAGGATACCCACAAGATGGGGTTTCCACTTTCCAATGTCTTTCCCTAGACCCCTGTCGGTTTGCCCGCTCGTGTGCCCCTCCCCCCTCCGCGTTCCCATCTGCAGCAGACTGCAATCCCCCCTCCTCCTTCCCTCCCACTGCCTACACTACATCGTACCCCCCCGTTTTGGCCATGCGCGCCTGGCGATTGGATTGAGCCCAATGCGCCCGTTCATGCTCCCACCTTCTCATACTCCAAGGTATCCTCCCATTTCTCCTCAAAGTCTGTGATCCGTGATCCGTGATTCCGTGCGTTAGTACGGGGTAACGGGAAATGGAAGGAAGTACAGAAGAGGAGAAAGGCAGAGAAGAGACAAGGACAAGAGAGGGGGAACGAGAGAGGGAAACAGCGATGAAATTGGCCTCCGACAGGCATACCATACATTGTTGTCAGTGAGTATCATCCCGCTGGCAACAAAAGCTTCGACGGGTGTCTCTGGTGTAAGGCAACTTCTTTCTGCCTTGTTTCAAGAGGGTAAAAAAAAAAAAAAAAAAAAAAAAAACACCCGGGCACCTCGAGCGCGGTTTTGCCCACTATTGCATTCACTCTCGCCCTCACAATGCCCAAAAAATACTACAATCTTTGGAAGAAACTCATCACATCCAATGTACTTCGCCATACCCAAGTATTTCTACATGAAGTATGTACACACCGGAAGCTCAGCTTGAAGCTCCGCGTTGACTATCTATGCATGCGGACGTCACCTTAGTATTGCGTAGCTCATGGCGATCTTTTCGGCCCCTCTTCACTCCCCTCTACTCTACTCTTCCTTTCGGCATCCCGAAGTCACACGTGTCTCCCAGCTTTCCCAACTATGCCCAAAATGGGTCGTTTCCGAGTGTGCAGAGTGTTTGGATGACAACGGCTCGTTGACACGCCGAGCCAACGACCTACAAGGACAGGGAACATCACTTTGAATCAACCTAGCCAGTCGCCGTCGACCCTTCAATTTTCATCTTCAAAACCTGAGGTATCCAAACATTGACATGCAATAATCGCACCAGACCCGTCACCCATACGTAAACCAACCATACATATCTAGACCAAAAAGCGTGGGAAACCATAAACTCAAGTCATCTGGAATGGTCTGTCCTTCATTGACTTGGGTCGTGACTCGGACCCTTTCCGTCCATGGTTATGAAGCCATCCTGTCCCAAGCGACGAACGAGTGAGCTCTCATTTCAGCCCCCCCTTCCTGTCAGCAACCTGCATATCATGTGATCGCCATGGTCTGACACCTTTTGCCAAACACTCTCCAGCCTCAACTTTGACAAGCTTCCATCAAGGGCTTTCGAAGCTTCCAAAGAAGCCCGCCCTCCACTTCGTGTTGTCTTGCCACAAACTAAACCCATCTACCGAACAAAAACTTGAATGAACCCTGTCGTTGGACGACGGCCTGACCGAGACTCGGTATGAATAGTTCAGGCGAGACCGTCAACTCTGCTGTTCTCTGAGAAGTATGAGAAATGAGACTTGAAGCCACGTTCCGGTTCTGTTAAGTCCGGGTTAGACAAGGCAAGACTGAACCGGTAGCAAAGTGAGAACCAATGACACGGGCCCGGAGCATCCCATAGAACAAGAATTTGAAGGTGGACTGTGTGTGGGAGGAGGTTGGACGTTGCACGTTGCAGAATCCCCCCGAGCCCCACTACTGCTTGTTTAGACGGCGTCGTTTTGCCAGTCTTTTTTGCTTTTGTTACGATTGCCAAGTATCCGTAACGCCAGACCGAATACTCTCCAGTCCCTGGATTACATCAGGTGGATAGCAAATAGCTTGGTTCGTTTCGTCTCCATGTAACCAATCGTGAGGCTGGTCATCCAGACAGCATGTAACTTGGCGTCTTGCCAATGTCCCGTGTAGGACTCTTTTGGACCGTGCCTAGGCCATATCGTAGACTACTGACAATTAAAGGTTTATCTATGGATGACCCGTTCATGGCTTACATTGAAGAAGTGAAAGCCGGGAACAGGCATGTTGGCCCGGATCGGCATCGGAGCGGTCAAGGGAGGGGAGAAGTTGAGCAGGTGTGGGCGGATGGAACCAGAGGAAAGGTATCTGTGTGGATGACGGAAGGCGGGATTTGCAGAGGGCCCAGCAAGGTGCCGGGTCTTTTCCCTCCCTGAAGGTGGACGTACGGAGGACGTACGGATACATACATACTAACATTGGGTGGTGCGGATAGGTAAGGTAAGTATGTAGCTTATCTTTGTTTTGTCCATCCCCTGAGCTTGTATTTCTTTTGTTTTAAACTACCGCCGGAGGAGCCAGTGATGTGCTCCCAGTCCGCGATCAAAGAGAAGAGCGACGACCGGGTTATTAAAGATATGTTCGGGGTTGGCTGGGGCTCTTCGGGGCAATCGTACTGGAAATGGGATACAGCGCCGGGAATTGGCTGGACCCCCCACTCCCCTCGAGGCTCGGTCTCTGCGGTCCCCCTCGGTCTCTGGGTGGGTGCGAGCAGGAAAGTGTCAAAGCACCCTGCCAATGCCAGTGCTTTCCGCCCGTCATCGGGGGGCACCGGGGGCCGGACTTGAGGTCCGTGGTTTTCCTTACCTAAGGCAACGGAGGGTGCACACACGCTCCTACTTCACCTGGGGTCGAGGTTAGAGGCTGTTGAGTGCCTTGGATATCAGGTGTCAGTAAAGCATGGGAAGGAGGACATGATATGGAGTACGTACCCTGTCTCTCACGGGACCGTACGGTCTTACCCCCTCATCCTCCCGACACACTGCCATTCCCGCCTGCCACCTATGGCAGCACCAACACCGGACGGGAGGGATCGCCTCACCTCTTGGAAAATTCCATCTTCGGCGCTAGAACAAATCTCCTGCATCGGTCCTGCACCGCTTCTGCAGCGTCTTAACAGCCCGCCGTCACGCTACAGCCTTCCTTGCTTTCTGCTAAGTTTCCAACGTACCTAGCGTAAGGTACTTTGGTCAAAGTATTTCTGCGCCACAAATCATCTACGCTACGGAGCGCAGAATAGCTTAGTAGGGACGGAGACCTACACTACTACGTACAACAGAAACACCTACCTCCTCAGTACGGCATTCCACATGACTGGCGTCTTTCAACTGCATCTTAGGTTCGAGAAATGTTGGTTTCATACCGTCTTGATACACCATCCATACGCCATCTTCCATCTTGCTCTTCGCCGTCGATAAGCATAGAACTGAGTGCAAGGCGAGGGTGAGCAGCAATTCTCCGCCTTTCCGCTTCACTTCACTCGATTCCCTCCATTCTAAGAAAGGAGCACCATGGTACCACACGGAGGACATATCCGTGCTTCACACAGCCCAACACACAACACCAGGATCGAGCAGACGGATAAGGCGCATCAAGGGACAGCCTACAGTCCGTGCTTCTTCTTCTTCTTCTCCTCATCCTCGCCCACTCCGTCAGCCTTGAACCGCCCTCTTCCAGCTCCAGCAAGCAAGCATCTTTCATTACCCCCGCCCCAGTCCTCTCCGATCCAGCTCGGCTTAACTTCGCACTTGACCGACGATGAACCAGGGCAAGGCGTCTTAGAGATGCTATACACAGCAGCTTAGCGTCCAAAAAGGAGCCCTCTGCAGAGTACTTTGCCTTACAAGGCCGCTACCCTCGTTCAAGGGGGATCGAAATCCGTTACAGACGCCTGCGAGCGCGCACGAAACCCTGCTGTCTGCTCGAGGCCCCTGGTAAACTCAATGCCAATTCCAAAAACCTCAACAAGGCCATTTTATACCATAAGCGGAAAGATGGTGCTTGGCACGGTAAGGTACGGGTAAGGAGAGTTAACTGGCCGGTAGGTTAGGTTTTACGACTAGGTCGAGTGGGCAGACAATGAGCCAGACCCAGACCGACCCGAACCAGAACCAGGACAGAGGAACCCTCAACCCAATCCCCTAGGGCCCCCCAAAGCTGAGCGGTGTGTGTGGAACACTGATCCTCGACCACTGGTAGTTGCTCGGCACTTTCCGGTCCAGGATTCGGCTCCCTGCTTTTCGGGGCAGTGAAATCCGGCGATTTTTACATCATCGCCAAAACGCCGGATGCTGAAAGGCTCCGGTGGTGCTTCAACCCCCGTCCAAGACTCTCGAAACCCTAGTCCTGGACCTGGCAACACTCGAGAGCGGGCACAGTTACTGGCTAGTGGAAACCCCTCACGACCCAGCTCCCAGCTCACAGCTGTGTCTACCACCAGCACCAACTCCAGCTCGAACCCCAGCCCCGGCCGGCGGGGTAGCAAGAACGCTGCGCTGGGACTCGATTGGATTGGATGAATTCCTCGCTGGTTTAACCTCGCGTCACCACCTGACAACCCTCGACCCAGATATCGTCCACCAAAGTGAAGGGCACAGCACACCAGAAGGCGCAGGCGTAAGGCGCAGACACGATAGCATCAACTCTGATGCCCTCGCTATCTATGTAATGCGGTTGCCCATGGCCTTGATTAACGCTCGGGCGCTCATCTCTCCCTAGGTTCATAGCTGGAAAGCGCTACGCCTCAAAGGGTCAAAATTTTGACCAAAAAGATGACTGCTACTACCTTATGTCGAAGCTCAGCTAAGGCAGGTGTTTCCGCGAGAATTCACCTCAAGTCGGGGGGTTGCAGGTTCTAAGGCAGGGGAGAATTCAAAGACCACCAGAGCTTCGGTCCAAAGTGGAAAAGCTTACCTGGAGATGTGCGGCCGCCTTTACTTCTTCACCCACCTCACACAATCTGCCCTGAGAATTTCCAGCCTACCTGACCGTTACGGATACCTTGCTTTAGTCCCCGTTCTGGCCTACACTACGAATACGGATACAGATACAGAAACTCCATAATCCACCCTGCCGCATCGACCATCACCAAAAGGGTTCATTGTAAGACCCATGACAACCTTGGACAATTATTGACGGGTCAGCTCAACCTTTCCCCCGGTTTTCAGCGTCGCATTTTCATCCATATCCTGTTGCGGGACGGAGTGGGCGACGCACCAACCCTCCGGCAATATCCTCATATCCTCTTCCCCGTCACCTTCAGGGGCCCTGGAACGGGATGAGGAGAAAAATAACCCAAGTCAGCCAGCTGTCAAATAAAAAACCAAACGAGACGGCCAAATGAACCTAGTCCTGCTTGTATGTACACAGCACCTGGCAAGCGGGCGAATGGTCCGCCCGCATCAGCGCCGCCCACTCGTCCCGAGCCCACGGGGCGTTCTGATGCCGTTGAATTCTGATGTATCGGTGCATCCCCGGTTCGAACATGGCCAGCCTGGTACTGTCGGACCTGGCCCGGCCGGGTCATTACTGCCCTTGATAGAGTGCTTTTGCATGCGTCAATACTGTCTGCTTGCGGATACGTAGGGTACGAATACACACGCTCGCACTGCCTTTCATCCAAAGTTGCTTGGCGCCAAAGTGTTTACCCAGAACTTGGTTTCTTGCCATTTCTGAGAGCAGTCTAACTTGGAGTTGGTCGTCTTCGTCGACGAAATGCCAGACACCACTCTGCAGAGCGGACGAAACCCGCAAGCCAAGCCTCGATTCAGGATGATGGCCCCTGGCTGGGACTGGGTACGTATCCCATCTCTCCCAGCCCATCCCCTGCCACTCAGTCACAGTGACTCCGCGACTCCGCGACTCCTCTGATCGCTGATAGTTCACTGCCTTTTAATCTATCGCTAGCGCGGTGGTCTACATCACTTACGTATTCTCAGGAGTTTGCCTTGGAAGGCGCCAAACTCTAAAGCGCTTCCTGTCGTCAGGTTTTCGATCGTCTGATGCATCTCGACACTTGCGGAGACAGCAACTTGCATACGCGATAGAGAGAGGGGGCAGATGTATTACACGTCGACCCATAATATCATGTCGGCTTGCGCGAAGCGAAAGCTACTGGAGCGTTCGTGGTATGCGCCTAGCCCGTTGACGAGGTCCAGTTGAGTTGAGATGTAAGACCTCTTGAACACCAGATCTCGACTTTACAAGTGACGCTATTCTGCATCTGTCAGCGCCCGCTGTGAGACAAGATCGGCCAAGACGGCGACGGCAACACGATCGTTCCAAGGCAGAACAAGTTGTGGAGGCAGACTGCAGTCCGCAGACATCGCCAACATCTCCCTCGATCAATTCTGTCTTGATTCTCGGAGTCCGGACCTCTGCATAGCGGACACTACGAAACCCAGAACCAAGACTCAAGACCTCCGACGAACTGGTACTTGGGTCTGGCTCCTCTCTCTATGGGCCCGCCACGTTCGCTACCTACCATCGCCCCTCCTCCGGCGTGCCTATGTTGATTACTCCGTACCTCCGCCGGTCGCCCACGAACATTCATGCGCGTCTGGCTCTAGCGGCTGACCCTGAGCGCACGCGCGTTCGTCGTATGCATTGCTGGCTAGACAAAGATGGTGGCAGTGGTTGTGGCTCATACACAGCAGCCTCTCGGAAGATAGGTAAGGCGTAGAGCATTTCTTGACAGGGCTCAGAACGAAGCGAGTCTAGGAAGGGCGGTCAATTTGTCGCCCGTACCACCTTGAATGAATTGATTATCTCGGGCTCCGCATCGTGTCGACCATCTCCTTGGACAACCCACATTGTACAAGTTGCAACATACGTAGTATTCAACGAAATGGAGCACAGGAGCACTGGAGCACGCCCAGAGATATGGAGGGGCCCGGGTGCGGCACAGGAAAGAGAGAGAGCGAGGCTTAACTCGTCCAAGACTCCCAAGTGGAGGTGACATCTTGCAGGAGAACCCACTCCACGTCACAGCATATCCATGCCATTCCTCCCCTCAACACCCGAGCCCAAAACACACTCATTTTCATCTTCTTGCACCCCCACCGGGAATGGGGAAAGGAAGACATGTCGAGAGGGGCAAGGGAGGATAATGGGGCGTCAGTGGGATGGTCCATATCCAGATCGGCGTCTACGAGGCACGACACGGCTGGCGCAATATCGCTGCTTCCCAGGTCTCTGGTATTGTACACACGGCCTGCTGCCGTCTTTGGATCATTAGATGGTCCCATGTTGCTCTCAAATTAGAATAAGAATACTGCTAGTGTAGCAGACACCCGCCGACCAGGCCGATACCCTTCACCCCCGTCCGTCCCCATCGCACCTTTCAGATCAACAGCATGTGCGTTTGGTTGGCCGTTGTGATGGTTTTGCCAAGTCGGGGGGATTCCTGTCGCTTCCCTCTCCCATCGGCTAATTTATCACATCGCTTAAGATAGCAGCATGCGCTTAGAAGATCCCTTCCTCGACGAGACAGTTGAGCTGTGAGGCTCTGGGCTTCTATCATTTTTGATACATGCCACGAACAGCGATCAAGGACCAGGGCCGGCTGTTCACTTCGGGAACCCGGTGGAACTAAGTAATCATGTATTGATTGCATTTGTGGATGACGGGCTGTAATGATTGACCGACCGTCAGGTCGACCGCTTTCTGATGTTTCTTTTTGTTTTTCTTGTCTTTTTTTTTTTTTTTTTTGGCGATTCTTCACAGGTACATTGGGGGTCTCTGCTCATCATCTTTTCAAGGTGTTGCATGGGACTGGCCGAGTTGCTTGTCACCCCGATAGACACGAACTGCTAACCATACCGGATGAAGAGAAGAGGGAGAGGGTCCAAGCAACGTTGACGATACTGCGACCTTCTCTTCCCAGGGTTTTCGATGCGCCCATTCAGGCTTGGCCTTGCTCGTTTCCGCTCGGATCGAGGAAAATTGAACACAGAGTTCACCGGTGTAGGAGTGTGAGTGGATACGCCCAGCTCGATTCTACCTTACTCTGAATCTATGGATCTTTTTCTGCTCACATCAGGAGACGAGAGAGATTGGCCTCTTTGCAACAGAGAGATTGAAGGCAGAAATATGAGGTGGGAAGCGTTCGAGCGATAGATTGAATTTCATTTACAAACCACCACTACAGCAGGGCGTTGCAGAAGGAGGACGGGCAGAGCGGGCACTCGCGCGGTTTGTGCGTCTATCCATTCGGCAAGGGCGCCTCCCCTTGTCTGAGGGACCCCCCATGTTAACCGTCTACGGTTCCCTGCCCCTCTGTCTCTTATTGCCAATTGGAACTCGTTGGTACCACCATCTACTATGGTAAATGTGGGCTCTTTCTTGTCTGATGGGCGCGGCGATCCGGACATAGACTTTTTCTTTACCTTGTCATCCTGTCTCGATCTCCTTCTTGTCTCCGGCCGAGAGAGAGCTGACCTGGTCAAGTCTTTGGTGGTGCGGTTACCGGTCCCCTAGCTAAGCCCTGTCAACAGTTCAATGGGAACATGGGTCCTTGTGATGTCAGCAGGGCGAAAGACAACACAGCAGCAGCCAGCGCCCGGCCCGGCTCGGCTCAGTATGGTCAGAGGAGATGGAACGCATCCTATCGGACAGCATTAAGCCAACCTAATGACCAAAGCGAGAGACACAGAGAGGGACAAGCAGAAGCAGAGAAAGTGTAAAACGGTTAAGACGGCTTTCCTTGATTGGACCATGCTCATCTGAGGAGACAAAGACAAAAAAAGGCACTTTCTGTCGACAGCTCTTGCAAGGTCTTTTACAGCTCATTTGCATACTGCATAGCGAGGAGCAAAAGAAAAGTCTTGGACTTTGCAGGTTGGAGACCCTCTCTCTCTCCATCTCAATGAGCCAAAAAGAGATAGACCTTGACCCCCCCCCCCTTCGGTTGGATCAAGTCTCATCACTTGTGTGAAGGAGCTGCAGGACGGAGTTTCCGTAGTATGACCATGCCATGATGCGTAATGGGGTAATGGGGGTGGTCACTGGATGGATGGGTGGTGGGTGGTTTGTCTGAGGTATCTATCCCATCTCCCATCTCTCTCTCCCTCTCTCTCTCCTTTCGTCTACAGCCCAGCCATGCAGAAAACGCTCCCGCAGGCGAGGAGCAGGGGTAGCCAACATAGAGTTTTCGACTGTTGCCGTTCTTTCCAAGATTTGGTCTTGGTATACTTGGTATTACTATTAGGTATTCTGGTTCGGTTCCTCGGATTAGTCCAAACTCCCAAACACGCAACCGAAGTTGACCCTCTCTCTCGGTTCGAAGTCTCTCTCTCTTTCTCTCTGTCTCTCGTCGGAGTCTCTGTCCCTTTTCTCACTGCGGCATCTTGTTGCGGCATTGTGGTAGCCGGGGGTGTACTATAGTCTATACTCCCCGTAGTGTTGTGTGACAGGCAAAACGCGACTCGAGGGAGTTGATGATCGGCGGTCCCTATGTTGTCATCATCTGCCTTTCTAGACGACAGAGTTCCATCCCGAAACTACCCAACATCAACTAGCGACCCCATCTCTGTCAAATCTCATGCCCCTTCCCTCCTGCCCACACGTCTCCCGCGCGCGCTCGACTGAACTCATGAAAGCATCGTGAGCACATGATGTTGCAACCAAGTCCTTGGAGTTAAAGATCACGAGTCGATAGGGCCACTTTCTCTCTCCAAAGCATGTGTTTGTGTAAAATCTGTTCATCAAATTTTGTAGTTTGTTTCTGGCGAGGTCTGGATGAGATTTATCCTCTCCAGCCCGCTTAACTATGGTTAAACATCAAAAAGTCCATATTCACATTCTTTTAATTCCATCCCAGAATGTGTGTGTATCATCCCCCGTTTCCCCAAGAAAGTCTAAAACCGCCCAATGGTTTGGTACCCAAAATGATGATAAACAAAAGGCGAGGAAATAAGAAAACCTCCAAAAATCCTGTAAAGCGCCTTCCTTTCTCCAAGTCTCTCGGCAGTTTGAAGAACAACAAAAAAGCAGTGATAATTTGGGGTTGGTCGCAGAAGTCCTCCACCCTATTTCTGATGTACCGGTATCGCGGGTAAAAAGAAGAAGGAAAAAAAGTCGTGAGTGAAAAGAATTGAAGCAGTCCCAGCCACCATGCTCTCCTGGCCCGCATTCGAATGCCATGACGAAGCCAACCCGTTTTTGTTTTTATCTACTACAACAGACCCAATCAGGCAAAGTGTGTGTGCGCGCGCGTGTGTGTGTGTGTTTGATGTGTTTCCCCCTTGAGAGGTCCCATCCCATTCCAGCTAGAATGAAACTCCATTCTCATAACAAAGGAGGAAGGAGGACGTGAAAGAAAATTGGAGACTAATAGCTCCGAGTTGTGAAGTATGGACAAGTAGATAGGTGAAGAATTTGGCGCCAAGTATCGTATCCGTCTCAGGAACCTTCGACTGCAACACAGCCACGAAGTTCGGGGTAACGGCGAACAAAGTTCTCATTAAGGCGCCAGTTTTCGAGGCGCATTGCGTGTGTAGTAAACGTGTCGCTAAGCCACATCTCTCCAGATTGCGGGTCGACCACCAAGGCGTCAATTGGCCGGCATGGCCAATTGATCAGTCTCAAGCTAGACGAGTATACGCCTTGAAATTCTTCGTTCGCGTACAACTCCTGGCGTTCGATAATGGCAGTGCGCAGAGGTGCCCAAAGGATGAGATCAACCCACTGAGGATGCGGGATTCTAGTCTGGCACGGTTTCGGTGTGAGTTCAGGCACAATGGCCTGGTAGGCCTCACGCGTTGGGTGCACCAGCCAGGCGATGGCTCGTTGGATGACGGCGAAGACCGCTAAGCGTTCAATGACGTTGGTGACGCCTGCCTTGTTGACGAGAGCGGTAATGAGCTCAGCCATGGGGTGCTTGACGCCGGGACCCGTGACTGTTGTGGAAGCAGCTCGATCAAGGTCGGCTAGCTGGCATCGTGGAGGTTCTGTTGTAGGCGAAGCCGGATGATACTCGAGGAAATTCTTCACATTGACCCTAGCAGGTCGGAGGAGGTTGTCGAGAGACTTCAGTTGTGACAATCGGCGGCAGTCCTGTATGAAGCCGACAATCAACTGGTCGATTCGACAAGTCGGCGGGACGATGAGGGTCGGAATCTCCCAAAGGGTGGTGCCAGGCTGGCGAATCAATGAGCTGACGGTTGTTGGTAGTACACCGGAGTTGGATACGAATTCCACGACTGCTGGTGATGAAGATACGGCTGATGATGATGAGAGATGGGAACCTGCGACTGATGAGGCATTGAGTGGTGACTGTGAGGGTATCCAGCGTCTAGAAGCTGAGTGGTTAGCGTCTCAGAATTGCGTTGCAACCCAACCACCGGACATAGGGAAGACAACTTACCAGAGTCGACATCATCATATTCACTCATCTTTGCCGGGATGCTTCGGGCATCCATCATCGGCGCGGGGACGCTCGTGGGGATGTAGCCTGCGCCGTACTCATCGGTGTTGGCGGATGATGACGGGCTTGAAACGGTCGAAGGAACGGAGACGGAAATGCCTGGGCCCCATGACTCTGACGCATCCGGCATGGGCACGTAAGAAGGACCGAGTTCTTGCATGACGTTGTAGTCACCGTTTGATGGAAATGGCGAGGATCGAGGACTGGGAACTGCGCCGCTAATAGAGCTCAGATTGTCGTCGTACACTGGAGCCGAGTCAGCACGAACCAGAGGCAGCCAGGCAGAAGACGAGGCAATGGAAGCAGCCGTACCTGAGTTTGGGTAGGACTGCCCGTTGGGAACGCCCATGCTCTCTCTGAGCTTGAACAATTCCTCTTCAAGTGCCTTGTTCTTGCGCAAAAGCTCCTGGACGGTCTGGCTCTGATCGCGGCCGCGCTCGCTCTTGAGCTCCTCAAGCTCGCGCTCAAGACGCTCAATGTGCTCTTTCGTTCTAGCTCTGATGGCGCGCTGTGCTTCTCTGTCATTGGCACGCTTACGCGCAAGCTGGGAGGGCGTCAGGGTTGAGACGCTTCTGGTGCCTGTTGAGGAAGGCGTCCAAGTCAATATATTATTCGTACATGAGAACGTGGAAGGGGACGATGGTGGTAGAGTAGGAGCTAAGGAGGGAGGTGGGGGATGATCGAGGCGAAGACGGCAGAAGGGTAGAACCGCATAACCGCCGCCGTCGTCGTCGACATCTCATGAGGGGTGCTGGTGATGCGTACCCTTGCGCTTGGTGGGCTTCGTAGGCTCTGCAGAAGCTGATCGTGTCATGTTGTCGGCGGCGTACTTCTCGTCGTGGTGTGCAACAACGGTAATGGTAACAGGTCTGGATCGAGTGTTGGCAACGGCAGTATGGGCCATGCTCTAAGGCAGAAGACTGAATGTAGGAAGAGAGAGACGGGTCTGGCGACGAGGTGAAGTTGTTTGTTGTTCGAGTTGTCAAGGCAGGGATCAAATCAAGAAGATCGAGAGGAGCGCATCTTGGAGTTATAAGATCTATTGACGACAGGAGCAGACACAAGAACAGGCCCTTCGAATGCCGGCGGCAAAGTAGTTTCAGGGCAGCTAGGAGGGACGAGTACCTCAGTACGAAGGTACGTACTAGATGAGCATGGATCTAGGGGGTAGAGAAGGAGACAGGGCCAGTGACTTTTGGTAAAGGTTGAGGATGAAGAGAGACAAGACAAGCAAGAAGAGGACAGGTACGTACTGTACCGTACCGCTACCTCCTAGGTCCATGAAGGGCACTAGAAGTAGCAGCACATAAGGTAGGGAAGTCTGGAGCAGGGGTTCGATGGAGATGCAAGCATCCGGGCTAAAGCAGCCCAGTCTCGAGGGCAAGGACGTGGGACTGTACCGTAAGTGAGGTGGTAGGTAGGGGAGTGTATTCGTAGGTGTAGGGTGAGAATGGAAAGGATGGCAGAGCAGAGAGATCACGCCGCGTAGAAAGTATCCAAGGAGCCGTAGGTACAACGGGCCCTGAGTGCTTCGAAGACAGAGGAAGGGTTGAGAGTATCGGTGAAGAGACGTAACTTGGCACATGACAGTCGATGTTGGGCACAGACATGGCGCAAATTACTAACTCACTTGAGAACAACTTACAGATCTCCCAAGGATGGGCTGGGGGATAGAGGCGAGTGGCAGGGGTCTGATCAGAGGAGAGGGACAAGACAGCGGCAGGGAACATGGGAGAAGGCGAAGAAGAGGACGAGAGAAGCGGGTGAGGCAAGGCAGCGAGCAGGACGGGACCGGGGGGGTGGAAGTTACACAGATTCACTCGACTGCAGCGATGTAGACATGTACCTTCCGACTGCCAGTTACCTATCGGCCTCGACGGGGCAGGGGTGTGAAGAAGGAGGGGGTGTGGAAGAAGAGGGGGTGCGTGATGGTAAGAGGGGGCGTGAGATGAAACCAGGGGAGGCGTGAGGGACAACCTTGTGTGAGGTGAATCTAGGAGAACAACAGAAGTGAGAACTGTGAGATGCCTCTTTACCTTAGGTAATGTGATGGATGGGCCACCACATTCGCATGCCTGGGATACGGGTGCTTTTTTTTTTTTTTTGTGCTGCGTGTGCCTCATAGTGGGAAACTACGTGTTTTGACGCGGAGGCAACAAGCTTCTTCAAGTTACTTTGAAGGTGTAACTAGTCGCCGCGGAAATCGAGCGAGGAATTGCTGCGAGCCAGATTCCGCCGCTATGCCGGTATCCAGGCTGGGCAGCATTCTTCCCCCAAACCAAAGAACATTCGTTCGGTTAGGTTTTGGGTTTGTCTTTCCTCTGGTCCTCGTTGTGTCTGTCTGGAGACTGGAGAGAGAGAGAGAGAGAGAGAATGGGTGTGAGAGCGAGCGAGAGTTGGGGCAGGGTGACGGGAAGGAAGTGCTCTCTCTCACGGATACTGTATCTGCAGGGGGAGATCCTCAAGCAGTAGCAGTCGATGTGGGTGGGCAACCTCCTGCCCCGTGATTGTGGCTCTTGCTGGCTCGAGTCCGACTCTCGATCTCAGCGAACGGGTTCCCGGTGGGGTTGCTTATCCGTACCGCAGGTAGGGAAACGTAAACGGGGTCAAAGGTAAGTAAGGCAAGCATAGAGTTGGGAAAAGGTTAGCTGCTGGGCTGGGTGAGGTGACGAAGGGCAAAGCCGGCAAGGAATGGGCAAAGCAAGGCAAGGCAAAGCCAAGGTTACGGGAAAGGAAAAGGTACCCAGGTGCCTTGTCGGATCCGTTGAAGTTGACAACCAAATCAAACTCCGACTCCTCCTCCCGCACTTGACCTTGTATGGTCTTGCGGATTGCCTTGCCCTGCCATGGCCCATAAACGCTGCTGTACCCTCCCATGGGCCATGGCCCTGTCCTGTCCGCCTTATCCATAAATGCGTATGAGGAGGTGGGCTCGCTGAAGAAAGACGAGATAATCCCGTCTGGGCTTACATATTGCGTTGACCTGACGGCTCGGAACGGGGGGGCCTTGCAAAGCGGGTGACGAGTCCTGTTGAATACCAGCATCTACGAGGACGAACGAGGAACTCTGAAAAGCAACAGTCCCATCCGGCTGATGCTCGGAATAGCCACACCCATGGCATGTCCATGGCGGCATGGCCTGTGTGTGGCCAGCCCATGGAACGCCCAGACCAAGAAAGGTGAGTTAATCTCCAATACCTATCTCGTTCAAATCCATATTGTGTACTCCGTGTGCATTCGTAGAATTGAGGGGCGGAAAAAGACATGTCCAGATCCTCAGAGGCTGGAGTTTGGGGTGATCATGATGCGTGTTTGGTTTGACCTGTGGTTGACCTCAATCCCAGCCCGAACACCACCATCCGCGCGCAATGTCGTCCCATTCTACGAAAGGCTTAGGTTGAAGAAGACGAAGAGCCAGCCAGGCGTGCCAGTGCCAGTATCAGTGCCGGTGCCAGTGCCAGGCCAGGCTGAGCCAGTAGGGCCACACGGCATAAGCCTCAATTCTGCTCGAGGCTCAGCACTGCTGCACCGCTGCATTTGCTAACGCATGCCCAGCAGCCCATGGAAACCTTCGGCCAGCCTCCGATGACCGGGGGGTTTGCGATACAATGACGAAATGATGTTTTTTTATCCTCTCTTGCCGCGCCGACAGGCCTTGTCATCTTGGACTTCTCCGTAAGGGTTATCACCTACATACGGATGCTAGGAAGCACTTAAGGGCCAAGGCGTATCCGATCCGTACAGGGAAAGAGAGAGACAGAGAGAGCGAGAGTACTTCTGTATCTCTCGGACCCGGAAAGCACCAATGGGCAGCAGAGCGCAGAGGTGCGGCCGTGGGCGGGAAGTGCGCGCTCAGGGATGGTTTAGCAAAACACAATCGCATACACTGCCCATATGTGATGTGAGGGTGTGAGTGGTCGATGAAGTAGGTACGAAGAAGTGTGTGTATCCGAGAAGGGAATGGAGGAGGATGGACTCGCTCTCTCTGGGTATCGAATTGATTGTGGGCACACACACACACCGGTCGAACATTCGTATGCTACCTACTACACTCACTCTCGCTCATACAGACACACACACACACATACACACAAACACGCGCGCGCGCAATAGATGAGGAGAGGCATGTCAAGTTCCATTATGAGTTAACCGGGAAGTGATTGAGGAACGAAAGGTGAAGTGTGAGGTGAGTGTGTGAGGATCAGGGGCCCGCTGCCGGTGAGGTCAGTCGGGGCCCAGAGGTAAACTGTGGGAAAAGGTGGAGAGATACCTTACGATAGGTGAAGGGGGTGGTACGTATCCACTACGCGAGAAATAAACTTTACGCTAAAGCCAGACCTGTCGTAGCTTGGTGGGCGCCGATACGCGGCCCAGCAGCGACCGCAACAGCCCAGTTAGAAGGTCAGCATCGAGGGAGAGACAGCGTAGAAGAGTGGTCTGTTACTGGATACCTAAGTCCTAAGGTACACCATTATCGACCGGGGAGAGCAACAGCACTGAACAGCGCTGAACAGCACCTCACCCTCGAACTTGAGGCCCCTCTTTCTCTCTCTTCCTCTTCCTCTTGCTCTGTTTCTGGCACTCTGTGAGAGACTGCGACCAGCAGGCTGCTGCTGCTGCTGCTGCTTTCATCTCGTGCTCCAAAACATGGTACTGGGGAAACTTCGTCGTCGGTACGTACCCGGCTACCATGAACCATCTCTACCTACCTTACAATGCCTGGGCCAAGCACCATGCAAGTTGCACGGAAACCTGCTCCCACTTCGCTGCTCCGGCGGCGGCCAGCCCGACCGGTACCTTGTCCCCTCCACTACATCCAACCGTAACACGCTTGTCTCTTTTAAGAGAGGGTCTTCTTGCGGCCTGCCATGGGGCCATAGGCCATGGCTTGTGTCGTCGGCCGACTTTGGGGGGGATGGGGGGAAGAGCTGCGTGGTGTGCGGGCAGTAAGATTGGCGTATCCGTACCGATAGGCAGACCGCACTTACCTTGCGAAAAGAACCGAGAAACTCTACGGAGTAACTAGCCATCTCTATATTTTCGCATTCGAAGCGACGAGCAGCAATAGCCAATTTGGGCAGTTCGCAAGATTTGGCACCATGTGGACAAGAGGCTCCAGAGTAAAGAAAAAACACAAATGCCCGCCGCCGTCGGCCCTTCTCACTCAAAGGGCGCGATACAAAGTGGTGTCATAGAACCTCGAGGGGTCTCCTACCTAGTAACTGTAGCAGAAACCGTTTGCCAAATGGAGTATTCCGGTGCGGAAACCCTACCTAATCTCACCTAGTCCACCTCCACTGGCACAACATCCTCCGTCCGTCCAGACGTACGCAGTACACACTACCTACACAGTAGAGAGGTTGGAGCCACTGGCGTATCGATCGCTAGTGCATTGCGTCGCCCCTTTGGAGAGGAAAAACCCAAAAAAGAGGGAGCCTTGGGTCTATCTTCTGAGGCCTTCTAGCACCTCCATTGCATAGCCATTAGAATCCATACCTAAGACGAGAATTGCGACCTGACGGCGGCGGCGGCGGTTTCGAATGGCGTGTTCGGGCCTAACGAGCAAGAGAGACAGAGACATTCTAGCTCGCCGACCAGAAACATTGAATACCAACCGCCCTGTGCCATCAGTGCCGGATCCATTGTCAGGAACTTATCGGCTCACCCGCTTCACATTCGTCGTCCGTCTTGTCTGGCGACATTTCTAGCTTTCGGTGAGCCACGCCGCGATGACATTTCATCCAACGGCCAAGACGGTCTTTGCAGCTAGCACGTCCGAAGATCGGATCCAAACTGTACCTGGCCTAGATTTCACGACGGCTCTCCAGCCTCGTCGCCCAAAGGTCCCCAGGGCCTCCCATTTGAGCCCCGATCGGTTCCGTTGGACACATGCCCACTATCGAACGGCTTCCTCGGATTCCGTCGTGGGTAGGCCACGCGAAATTGAGATATTCTTGTCTTTTCACCGCTTTCGAATTGGCTGGCTTGGAGAGATGGAATTGGGCATGAGAAAGAGAGCGGCGACGGCGCGCGCACATACACGCACACATGCGGGTACATACACCTCCATGTTGCGACTGAATGGCGGCGTCCATCATGGTCGTTCCAATCATCGGACCTGGTTCCGGTCGCCCAATCCCACAGGATGCCGCTACTGAACTGCCGTTGTCAATCTTTTTCCCCGATTGCTATATTCCGCCTTTCGGAATGCAGGCTCATGAAGGTTGGCGCATACGGCACCCCTGGTCACAATTTGTCTACAAGTCGCAGTCTCTTGCCATTGAACGTTAGTAGATGTGAGCCCAGCAACAGCACCACGGCCGGCCGACCGACCGTACAAGGCCAAAAATTTGGGGGTGTTTGTCTTCTCCCTGGTTGCCGAGTCTTATGTCGGCATCCTGTCTCACTTTTTCAGCTTCGCGGCACGCCCTTCTGACCGAGCCAACTTTGATTCAGCGCGGTCAGCGTCTTATTCGCAGAAACATTCGCTCTCGCGGTGCGGCGTGTTGACCTCCGCCAGATAGGTACGGTATGCACAATCGACCGAATGCCTGTCCTTGGCTGCCTGCCCAGCGAACCCGAGATCGCCGCTGTCAACGCGTCCTGTACCGGATTTCGCAGGTGTCTGCAACTTTGCGTAGGTGTGTGTGTGTGTGTGTGTGTGTGTGTATGCGTGTCTATGTTGCTTCTCGTCCATTGTTTCTTCTTTGCTTTTTTCCCCTGGTCTTTTCTTATTCTGTGGTGCGCCTCCTCCTGCTTCGATGTGTAGGAGAACTCTCGGGTTGCGGTGTGAGAACTTGAGATGCGCACAGGTACTGAAGGGCAATGCGCCGGCATTCTCTCTGACATGCGTGGCGGGCTTCTCGAAGGTCCATGGAACTCTTCTGTCTGGGTTCTGCATTGCATCGGGCGTTCGCATTTTTCTTCTAGCCTCTCGTCGTTCCAGGGTCATGTCCGAGGACACCACCATCGCGATGAGTCTGGCGCATCGTCGAAGAGGCGAGAAAGGGAAAACGAAGCATGGGCTGTCGCCGAGCTGGATTGCGATTCACAGGGTTTCCAGGCTGGCGGGATTGTGGCGTTTCGGGGGGGGGGGGCTCCTTCCCCTTTTCGAGAATGGGAAGTCTGCTGATGTGTCTGAGGTTGATCTGTTGGTTCTCATCTCCCCGCGCCCAAAAAGTCTCACTCTACCTGCCTACTGGGTTCAGTGATGAGTACTTTGTAGATGTTTCCAGCTGTCAATTAGTTCTTGTGTTCCCCCAACCGCGGGGCAAAAGACCCGTCTGGCTCTGGCGGCCCTCCCTCGTTGTTCCTTCTTCTCCCTGAGGTGGCCCTGCCACATTTGCTTCTCATTCTTCCCCAGCCTGATCGTCCGGCGTCGTGAATTACAGCAGTTTGGTCGTACAAGGCGTCTCGTGCCGGCCTCCCGAAGCTGTTCGCATTTTTGTTCATGAGATGTGGTTGCTTGCGAGTTATGTCATAGGCGTTCGGTTGTTGGTTGATGAGGGGGTTCGGACACGGCGAAAGGCGTCGAGAACGTCAACAAAGCAAAGAGGGTATCCGGAATCAGCGATTTTATGAGTTATTTCGGGGTGGGCTTAGCAATGCCGGCCCGGGGGTGATGAACCCCTGATGAATGCCGTCTCGTCGGCGCAATATCCAGTTCGGACCTCTGTTATGTCAATTCTGACTCAGAAAGCCAGCCGTTGTATGTTTCGTTTCCTCTGTGAGTTCCTTCGGGAGGATACCTGTTAGACCAATGAGGCCGGAATCCCCAGAAGAAGAAAAAAACAGGGCCTGCAGCAGACCCTGCTTGTAAGACCCGGCGCTGTGCCTGGCATGCGCTGGGCACCCTTCCCTCATCCTCGAAAGCCTCGAAGCTCCAGCTGGTTAGGGTGTCGGGGTGTTAGGGCAGGGCGGGCCAGCTGAGAGCAATTGGGGGGAGGAGTGAGAGTGAGGAGGAGGGGGGAAGGGGAGGGGGAGAGCGGTCAGGCGGTGGGAAACGGCGGAAATCTCTCCGGATTCTGAGAACGAGGTACCGGAACTGCTGAGGTACCTCGACCAGGTCCAGTACTCCAGCGCCTCCTTGACCCAAATCCAGGCGATACATGCGCTAGCAGCCTAATGACGACCGCTTTTTTCTTCCGAATCAACCAATCACTGGCTCAACCGGTGCTTTGCGGATCTCGCTCCGTAGTGCACCAAAGTACAAGTGCAAGGGCCAGTGACTTGGCATTTCCGGGCTTATGGTCTGAGTGTGGTGTCGGCTGCGGGAGAGACAGTGAGACTCCAGAGACCCTGGACAAGTGCGAATCCTTCAGACTGGGACTGTCAGCGGTCATTCCGTCGCGTACGGAATTTCCGTACAGAATTTCCATACAACTCCCAGCAATGGACATCATGTACATCATCGCGCATTTAGAACCTTGTATGTCTCTGACGAAAGAAATTGATATTGAGCCATGTTTGGCGATGTTCCTGTACAATGCAGCAGGAGTGCACGTATGCTCAAGCAGAGCTTTCTATTCGTAGCTGTATCTGTTGTTGCGAAAGAAAAAAAAAAAACTGGTCGTAAATGCCTCGACCCGGGGTATCGAATCGTCCCAAATCCAACAGAGAACTCGATCAGTGGAGTCAATCAATCGGTCCGTCCGGGACCGTGGTAAATGCTGTAATGTTTGTTCTCGCCGTACATATTCTCAGGCGACACTTTCAGGGTCTGCCTCTGCCGCTGGGTCTGCGTCTGGTACTGCCCCCACCAGGTCTTCGAGTCCTCCGACCTCCGTTGGTCCGTCAATGCCGTCCGGAGGAAGGGCCCACGCGGGCATCGGACTGGTGTAGCTCCAAGCCCCTCCGGCATCTTCGTAACGGAGGCTGTGAAGCCAGAGCGAAAGCTCGTGCTCGCCGGGGTCTGTGTAGAGCGGCGTATCGCAAACGTCGCAAAGCTCTCCTGACAGCTTTTCAGCCCTTCTCTTCTGGTACAGGTCCACCAGTTCGTCGTGATAGGCCACAGCGTCGGCGATATCTTGTTTGCCCATCCTTTCTAGGCGTGACATGATGTCTTCGTCCGTGTTCTCGACTGCATCCGAGTCGTTGCATCCCAAGTTAATTCCCCAAACTCTTTGGTTCGCATATAAGGGGTCGTTCTCAATGGGATGCCCAACAAATTGCAGATGCACGCGGATCTGATGTGTTCTGCCAGTCAAGGGCAGGCAGCGAACGATTGAGTAGCCCTCTTTCTTGATCCAAGGCCGGCGTTCCTCGTCCGCAAGTCGTTCCGCACTCTTTGGCTCAGCTGCCTCCGAGTCATTCAGAGTGTCCGGCGGGTAGTAGGCCAGACGTTTGAAGACGGTACGGGCCGACTTTCCGTTGGCTCGCACGCGGTTGAGGCCTAGTCGCGGGGATATTTGGAGGATAGGCTGATCGCAGACAATTTCGCCATCAGGAAACTTTCCAGCAACGCGCGCCAAATATTCTTTGCGGACCGTATGAGCTCTAATTTGAGCAGTGAGCTTCACTGCTGCCTGTGGTGTCTTGGCGACGAAAAGAATTCCACTGGTGAGGCGGTCCAGGCGATGGCACGGGTAGGGCAGGAAATGCTCGCCTCGCTCAGACTTCATGATCTCGATAAGTGTGTTGTACTTGTATCTACCAGCAGGGTGTACCGGTACGCCGGATGGCTTATTGACAACGATCATCTCGTCATCTTCATGAATGACACGAATTGGCTCGCCTGTGACAGGGGGCTCATGGCGATGAATTGTGTGATTCACAAGGTCTCCATTCTTGACCAGATGATCCGGGCCGACTGCCTTTCCGTTGACAACGATGGCTCCGGTTTCCATGGCATACCGGTAGTACTCTAGGGTGCGGTCCCTGAATTCATCCTCAAAAATGTCGATCAGCTTCCGACCGCGCCAGCGTTGCTTGGCCCAGGTGTGGTAGGTAAAGTGATAAGGAGCAACTCTACGGAGACCGTCCTCGAAGAAGTAAGGCCGAGGCCACATGTCGCCGGTAGGCGTCGTCAAGACTTCAGGCAGCTCATTGGAAGCTTCAGACGGTTGGGCATCCGGTAGCTTGGCTGGTTCAGCAGCGGGAGAAGCAGTCGACGGCGGGGCCGCAGCCGACGTTGGTGCCATTTGATCAGAAGCCATGGCAGGCATAAGAGATTCCCGTCGGAATGGCAGCCTTGCCAAGGACCAAACTGAACGCAAGAGGGTAGCCAGGATTGATCAGGTAGTCAAGTTGTGAGGCGTGGTGTGCGATGGTGTAAGCAATAAGTGGCGTATTGTGGAACTGTGCGAAACTTCGACTAGTCGTAAGTAAGTAGTGTTTGAGAAAGTCGCTTGCTACTTGCCTCGAGGAGCCTGGATATCAACTACTGCTAACAAACTTTGCATGTGTAGTGATAGGTATCTCGAAAGAGTCACAAATTCTTGGCGGTCAGGCATGGCAGAACTTTGCTGGAGTTGGATTTTTGGTGGGCGAGATCGGGAAAGGTGGATCAGCAGAAGCGTGATTGGTCACTGGAAAGACCTTGTGTAGTTACATAATCTCAGCTAGAGCCTACCATTTTCCGGCTCAGGTAATCAGCACCCCTGGGCAGGTATTCCGGCTCTGAACCAAATAGGTCTGCCAACATTTGATTGGCTCCTGTTAAGTTGGTGGCAACATGACATTCTACCTCGGCTCAGCTAGGAACTCTACTGTGCTGCAAGTCAACTGCGGCAATCAAAAGTCTCAACAATTTCTCCACAACTCTTGGTGGGAAGCTACGAAGGCTTCTTCATCGAAAGGTTTAAAGTCACGAGCTGAACCACAACTCAATCGAGAAAAGTGCCGATAAGGCAATGCGCGTTTACCAGTGACGTCTGACTGAGCATCCTCCATCTCTTGTCCCTCCCTTGTGTTTCTGAGCCAATACTACCCCAGCAAGGGCCAGTACCTTCGGCATCACCGCCTACAACGTGCTCCAAATATCCGATCTCTCTCCATCATCTCACAAAGCACCGCCATGGCCAGCAACAAGCAGTTAAAGCAGCGTCGAAGGGGGGACTACGGGTACATCCTAGACTACCGGACACGATGGTGAGTTTACCTCCATCCCGCCATGGTTATCACAAGCTGTCATTGCGGCTTCCCTTTCTACCTACTCCTCGGTGCCTTTCATCCTCCCTGCTATACCTCAAAACGGAGGGACCGAGCCCATTCCTCGCAGAGCTTCAAGGGGGGGCTTGTCCGTGCTGCAAGCGGACGCCCTCCCTCCTATCCTTTCTTTCGCCAACCTCTCACGCCTATGGTGCAAAGGCGAGGGCGCTCTTCGCAGCGTATCAGCAGCCGTCCATCTTCTCATCATCATCATCCCCTCACACTTCGCTTTCATTCGTCTGCGCTTTTGCTGCTTGGGCAGAGATTGACAAGGTTTCTTAGGGCCGATAATGATATGTATCAGCACATGAACAATAGCGTCTACAACTTCCTGTATGCTTCTGTCGATCAAGCTAATGTCCGCGCGGCGTCCAGCTAAGAAACTGCAGATACGACTCCGTGGTCAACGCCTACCTGATCGAGCACTGCGGCCTATCTCCCTTGCGTTCTGATCAGTACGGCCTTGTCGTACACTCACACAGCGACTACTTTGCTTCGATTGCGTACCCCGCAGTCGCTCAATTAGCGCTGCGAGTGAACAAGTTGGGGAAGTCAAGCGTCACCTACGAAATTGCCTTGTTTGAAAAGGGAGTGGACGAGGTGAGAGCAGTCGGGGAGTTTACCCACGTCTTTGTCGAGAGATCTACCGGTCGTCCAACCGCATCCGGAATGGAGGACGAAATGCGGAGGGGTCTACAGCGACTTCTGATGGTGGATGGTAGGGGAAACAAGCTCTAAATTGAACTCTATCACCCACCCACTTGTACCATGGAGCTTATCTCCTAACAAATTCCTCTACCAGTTTACAGCTGCAAGCTCAGC